TTATATCCGTTTTGTAATATTTTTGAGTGCACTTTTCCTTTTCCGAGCCGAAGTCCATAACTGCACAGACACTGGGTGCTTTATCAAAGAAACCCAGTGCCATGCATACATGAGCACACCGAGCGGTGTTTTTACCGAGACTGGTGGTGTGAGCGGATATTATTTAATCGGTCATGGAATGTTCCGTTCGTCAAAATTGTTTAATAAAATGTAGTGTAAGTTCTTTCATAATATTATTAGGAACAAAATGTTTGTTTTTTTTGCCTTGATTTGTTTTCCGTCGATCTTGTTTTCCGTGCTGAGCACCAATGCTACCGACGCCAGGGAGGCAAACCCATCACAACTCATGAACCGGGGACCAACGGCTGTACTTCCCTTCCGAAGGAAGGCGTGATCAGAGATGTTATGCCTCAGTAATGTTTGCACCATTGAGCAATGTCAAAATTAAAAAAAAAAAGTCTCAAAAATTTCGTTTTCGATTGTTTTTATTTATTCAAAGGGGGGATGTTTTTCAGAGTCTTAAACTATGTTAATCATCGATCGAGTTTCCACTTGCTGCAATTACGGCCTCCACACGCTTCCGGAATGCACGGCAGGTTCTAATAATGTAGTCTGGATCCATTTATCTCCAGGTACCGGTCAATGTTTGTCTGAGGCTTGCTGTACTCGGGTGGCGTTTAGAACAGGCCTTGGCCTTCATGACGCGCCATATTCAGTAATCCAGCGGATTAAGATCGGGGCTGGATGGCGGCCACATATCCTTCGCCCAGAACGGAAGATGTTCCTGCAACCACTTCTGAGTGCGATTCGAGGTGTGGCACGGAGCCCCATCTTGTTGAAATACAACATTTGGCTTCGGACCGTACTGTTCTTTGATCCACGGAAGAACAAACTTACTTAAAATCCCGATGTAGACCTCCGTGTTGACCTTGTTGCCTACTGGAATGAACACCGGGTCCATTTTTTTGCCTTAGGAAGCCACAAATCCAAACACCATAGCGCTAGCACGATGCTTGGTCAGATACACGTTCTTGTGCTCGTCGGCCACGTCTTTTACCGGAAGAGAACTAATATACCGGTCGATTCTGGAATTTGATACGGGATCGACGGTAAACATCGTCTTGTCGGTGAACAGGATTACCGGATTTTTTCGCTAAAGGAAGTTCAAGATTTTCTTGCATCGTTCGACTCGTAGCTCCCGGATGCGGTTGGTAATCATGTGAGTTTTTTTTTTCGTGCCCTTGAATTCGCCCGCAATCTTCCTTTACGATCTTCCGTGCCGTAAAGTCACTGATCCCGTTTTTCTTTTGCCATTTTCCTTATTGAACGCACTGGATTCACCCGAATCTTTCTTTTGATAGCAGCGATAACCCTCGGAACCCGAGCTGACCTCGGACGACCTGTGGCCACCTTCGCGGATAGTTGTTCTTTCTTTTCTCGGTCTAAAACCCTTTTGACGGTCCACCGGGACACTTCCACGGCGATTGAAATGTCTTTTTGCGACATTTGCGCGTGGGACAAATCACGAATACGCTGCCACTTCGTCATGGTGCAACTGTCAAACTAAGATAATCATTTTCTAAGCTATAGGTTACGTGCATGCAAAGAAAACCAAGGCATTGTATGCACAGGTGAAACGGGAACCTTACGTGTACAATGGTGCACACATTATCATGCATAAGGTAACTACACAGTTCGAAATGTGAATTTCTGTTCAAAATGATGCACATAAACAGAGCGTCACGTATCAAATAAGTTTACATTTTTTTCCTTGATTTGTTTTCCGTCGATCTTGTTTTCCGTGCTGAGCACCAATGCTACGGCGCCAGAGAGGAAGCTCCTTCACCTAGACCCTACCTATCGACCAATCAACACATGAACCGGGGTCCAACGGTTTTACTTCCCTTCCGAAGGAAGGCGTGATCAGAGATGTTACTATCAGGCCTGCTGGGATAAGTTTACTCTATAAATCGTTTAAAGTTCTGAGACATATCATGAAATGTTGCAAATTTTGTTTTTTTTTTTTCATTATTATTATAGTTACTTTAACACTCTTGGGGTTCACTACCATCTGATCACTATTTTATTTTTACTGATAGCCTTAGCTCGTTGGAGGCTATTCGATCAATGAGGCCGATGAAGCACTCCTCGTATTTCCTGACCGAAATCCGAGCTAAATTGAGTACTTTATCTAACTGCTCCTATACTATCACCTTAGTTTGGGTCCCATCTCGTTGTTCAATTCCGGGTAATGAGAAAGCGGACTCGCTAGCTAAGGTGGGCGCTATGGAAGGCGATATTTTTGATCGACAAATCGCCTATGCGGAATTTTTTTCAATTACCCGTCAGCACGTCCTCACCAACTGTCAACAAAAATGGAATGAGAGTGATCTGGGAAGATGGTTGCATTCTATTCTCCCACAGGTGTCGAATCCTAGTAGCACGCTTGTCACAAATCAATTGTAGAAACTTATATACGACTTATTTCAGTCATAAACAAGCTGCTCTAACTTATTGTGATGAAAGTGTGCTACTCGGGAACAAGCCATGGTTCAAAGGATTGGACATGAGCCGTGACTTTATACGTGTCATATCAAGGCTCATGTCCAATCACTACTCGTTAGACTCGCATTTCTTCCGAATCGGGCTCGCAGGCAGCAATTTGTGCGCTTGTGGTAGTGGCTATCACGATATCGACCACGTGCTTTGGTCATGCACCCTCCATTGTGTTGCTAGATCCGAGTTATCCGCATCCCTCAGGGCCCGAGGAAAACAACCCATGCGGCCCGTTAGAGACATCTTGGCGAGCCGAGATCTCGACTATTGCAATTTAATTTATGTTTTTTTTAAAACGGATAGATCTGAGGATTTAGTAGTTAGTGTCATCTTGTGTTCCCCAAAGTTGTTAGCTGCCCATCGGTGTACCCCCATGTTTCTCTTTTTCATCAGTTGGTCGCTTAGTTCGAGATCAATAGCACATTGCTCTCCAAACCTAGTGTTCTCAATCCCTACCCTGCCATCCATTTGTTACAATTTGTTACCCCTAACCTCGAGATAGCCGCGAGTAATCGGCCCCCGCTTTACTAACGTTAGTTTTAAGAAATTTTGTAACCCAAACATTGAATATCGGCTCCGCAAAGCTACGGCAAATGAGCCTGGAAAAATAAACGCATTTATAAAAAAAAACACTCCTGGGTCATTCGTGACTTGTCCGGGGGTGAGCCTGGACTTTGGCGTGAGAGGTATGGATGTTAACAACTACGCCGGGGTCGCCCCCGCAAATGTTGTTTTTTTTTTTTTGCTTTATAAGACAGATTTTCAGCCTTGGGCTTTAATGGGCTGGTTCATTAAATGTTGTATACAAAGCCCATATTTTCAAACAACATTGCTTACAAATTGCTCGTTTGTTTGAAATGAAATATGTACAAGTTTAAGTGAATGAATCTTTACATCACAATTAAAATTAAAAATTGTGGACTGACATTTTTCAACTACCGGATGCTGAGTTGTAAGTTAAATAGCAATCTCCGTTCTCCGTTCAAATTTTATGAGCACTTTCCTACCTTCGTCGTTTGACGGACGCTGTAAACAATGCCTCAAATAAACAAACTAATCGAAAAAGCACACATCCAAAACCGTGCAAAACTACAAGTGCTCCGTGACACAATAACAAAAGACACGTGCCCGCCCTGCCACACGTGTTGGTGGATCATCTCATGCACCTTCTATGCCTACCAAATACCCGAGCAAAGTCTGAAGCCAATTTGAAAAATAAATTTGATGTTGTGATGTCGCTGATAATGATTACTCAGGTGCTGTCGTTTTGGTCGTTTTCACGGTTAAAATATCAAAATTGAGATCAAAAAAAATCTGCCTGTCACATCACATTGAAAACTAATTCTGCTAACATATGAAGCAGACTGAATTCAATTTGGTGTTCTACTAAGGCAAAATGAAAACACAATTTGTTATCAATTTAGTCAATCGAGTAAATTGAAATCAAATTATGATTTAAGTATGATGTTGATATCATAGTTTGCTTTTGATCTGCTGTCATTTGGATGCTGGACTTTGCTCGGGTAGGGAATGTGGCAGCTCTGTCATCGTGATTCCACATGTCCTTTTGAATCTCAACTGGACTCAACGTTTTGCGGCGAATTCCATCTCCATTCCGGTTCATCTGGGAATATTTTCCGAAACCATATTCAATCAGTTCCACTAACCGAAAGAGCATTGCATAATCACAGACCTCGCCATCATCGCTGTCTAATCCTAGCTGTTCAATAGGATTGTTCCAATTGATGTTCTATGTTTGATGGAAATGGTTATGTACCAACAGGTTCAACATTGCGGCAATCCAAAGAGGAATTATAACTACAGATTAAATAATAGCTTCATTGTGTAAATAAATCAGTAATTAGAGAATCTTCGGCGCTGCTTCCATAAATTGTCGGGATAAGAAAACAATCGAATGACATCCCTAACCGGGTGACGCACTGGAAGCTCCTGGAGTGGAGATCGAGCAGATTGTTTGACGGATATTGATTTGCGATATCTGAACGATGCCAGCGTAATGTGTACAATATGTGATTATAACGACGCTACGTTCGTCGATTGCTAAATGCCATTGTCTACAACCGATAGGGAATTGGAAAAATACATACAAGATAGGGAATTGGAAAAATACATACAACCTCGCACCGTACACCGCTTCCCGGATCGGAATTGCATTGGACCATTTCCATCAGCAGTGAAAAATCCGAATCGATTTTGCAAGCCGTGTAACCGCTTTGTATGCAACCAAATCTGAATCTCATCTCCGGAAATTCATAACGATTGCAAACAACATTTTCCAAAATCCAACTATCGAATGCCACACAGTCAACTCTCACCCACGCTTCCGCTGGCCCAAAAAACCACAAACTAAATCCAAATTGTACTGACCTCATTCTGAATGCTCTCTCTCTCTCTCTCTCTCTCTTTCCCTCTTTCACCCGCAGAGCCTTACAACGTGGAAGGCGTAGAGGGACGCAGTATCGAGTTACAGTGCCCAATTACCGTTCCACTGTTCGAAGTGAGCATGGTGCTCTGGTTCAAAGACAACGCCGGGATTCCTCTGTACAGGTATAGACATACAATACATATTGCATTTGCTGTAAAAGGTTGCAGGATCTCTAAAAGCTAAAATTTGTCTTTCCCCTTTTTTCCGGAACCGCCCAGCGTGGACGTACGTGACAGAGTTGCCCGGCAGCCGGCGCACTGGTCAGCGCCTGAAGTATTTGGCTCACGTGCCAAGTTCAATATTGATAAATCACCTGCATCCCTGCTGATAAAGGTAAGCAACGGGTCATGCACGTTCTACCGGTTGAATCGTTTGACTTTGGAAAATGGTGCCGAAAAAAAATCTAAGCGGATACGAAATTCTAAATCGCAACGGTTTTATTTAACGATTAGTCAAACTTGACGAAAACTACATGAAGCATTCATCAAATATTTCTTTCGGCATTCCCGCAGGGTTCAGTTAGTAAAAAACACTATTTTCGATTATTTACAGAACCTTAAACGCCACGACCAAGGCATCTATCGCTGTAGAATAGATTTTCGGACTATTCAAACCCAGACATATAGATACAACTTAACGGTTATTGGTAAGTATGAGATATTTCCCGTCATAAGTTTTCAACACCCGTTAGATTTTGGCACGGTTTTATTATGGCAACCAAAACGCTAGTTTATGGAACGGTACCAAAATCGAATGGTTTATAAAAAAAACTACAATGTTTTAGTTATTGAGAGTTTTTATTGACAGATTAACCCTTTGCGTCTAAGGATAAATTTGACCCCAGACCACTTTGAAGGCTGTAACTTTTTTATTTGTAGATGGAATTTCCTAATTCATTCGTGACTAGGTGTATCCACTGGAGTTCAGTAACATTAGATGAAATCTGCTCCCACAAACTTGAAAACTCTTATTGGAATTTTTTTTATTGAAATACTTACGTTGCCTGTACTCTGGGTCAATTTGTATGTGTGGGTGTGTCTAACCTCCTCTGGCCGGTAGTGTTATTATGGAAGAACTCTCTCTACAATGCCGCATTTATGGTCATTGTAGACAGCTTTAATCCGGAAGTTAAAAGGTGATGCTCTATTGCAGATCCAGCAACCCATTTCAGAATGTCTGGAGAATCACGCCCATTTCAAAGTTACTTTCAAATGGATATTGGTATATCATACAAGCTTCCAGGTTCGAATTTTTTTTGACGTAGGACTACGTCTTTCGGGAAGATGGAGGTACACTTTATGAAAACCGAAAAATGAAATTATGAAAGATTTTGGACCAATTTCAAAAATGTTATCACCATTCGATCAGAAACATTTCTACGCATAGATAACAATGCTTCTGACTGTTGATTTTTAAGTTTAAACTATTGAAAAAGTGGTAAATGTCAAGCACTGTCCAAAACTAATCAAATAACTAACAAATCCACCAATTACGTACATGCCTGTGCTGCTTCCCCAACACAGTCATCAGAGAATGGTTCCTAGATGAAACAAGTCGAAGTGACATTCGCCTCCGATCTTCGGGCGTCTACGAAAAGGGAAGATGCAATTGCGGAACATTTTGCTCTCCTTTGTTTCCTTGGATTTGTTTTCCGTCGATCTTGTTTTCCGTGCTGAGCACAAATGCTACCCATACCTGGACCCTATCTATCGACCCATCAACTCATGAACCGGGGACCAACGGCTTTACTTCCCTTCCGAAGGAAGGCGTAATCAGAGATGTTATGCCTCAGAACATCCCGGGGGCGCCGACTGGGATTACGCTTACCTGGGTGAGAGGTAATTACGCTTACCACTACACCACCGGCACCGCTACTCTCCAGAGTTGTAATCTTGTAACCAAACTTGGAAGCAGGAGATACTCTATATAAATTCTATTCTAACTCTTTTCTGAAATGAACTTGGTGGCCCTGAAAAGGGCCGTTTTGTTACATTGGTGATAAGTTTTAACCTCCGAAACCGTACAGAGTGTGTCTTTGTCGCTTCAGAGCGTAGACGACATCCATGGCCGTGACGGTTTTGCGCTTGGCTAAGGTTAAAAATCTCTTAAATAAAGAAAAAAAAAAAAAAAAAAAAAAAAAAAAAAAATTGCGCCTGGCGTGTTCAGTATAGGTGACGGCATCACGGATCATTATTTCTAGGAACACCTTCAGCACATCTCGGGTTTCCTCATAGATCAGACCGGAGATATGCTTGACACCACCACGTCGAGCCAGACGACGGATGCTAGGCCCTGGATGTTATCACGCAGAATTGTATATAGCCAAAGGGAAGCGAGAAAGTATGGTACCGGCACAGCTGGTTGTCTATATAACAGGTTGCTAACTACGCTTTTGGCTTAGTTTCGATTGACCCGTTCAACGTCAATCATCAAGCATCAATGACTGGTCGTGGCAAGGGAGGCATAGGTCTTGGAAAAGAAGGCACCAAGAGTCATCGGAAGGTTCTGCGTGATAACATCCAGGGTATTACCACGCCTGCCATCCGTCGTCTGGCTCGACGTGGTGGTGTCAAGCGTATTTCCGGTCTGATTTACGAGGAAACCCGAGGTGTGCTGAAGGTGTTCCTAGAAAATATGATCCATGATGCCGTCACCTACACTGAACACGCCAAGCGCAAAACCGCCACGGCCATGGATGTCGTCTACACTGTGGAGGGACAGGGACACACTCTGTACGGTTTCGGAGGTTAAAACTTATCACCAACGTAACAAAACGGCCCTTTTCAGGGCTACCAAGTTCATTTCAGAAAAGAGTTAGAATAGAATTTATATAGAGTAACACCCATTCAATTTGTCACTAAATACATCAAAATTATACAAAAATCACATAATTTGTTAGGGAAGTAAATTATGTTTTATTTGTAGTCTTATCGGTAGGTTAAATTTATTCCGTTTCGCTTTAATAAACTGAGAAACCATCATCGTATGCATTCTCCTGCTGCGCGACATCTTTGAAATCGTCCAAACCGTTAAATAATACAGAGTACAGACTTAAAGTACAGAGAGTACAAAAGGAGAGGAGCCAGTGTCGCTACTTGATAGCAAACTACTCATGATGGGAGGAGTCTGTGTACTTTACCGGCGTATTCCAAAAGAAAGGCAATCAAAATTTCATTTTGTGATTGTTTCCCAAACACAGACATCAAATTCAAAGACCACCGTGATTATGCATTGTAGCATTCTCTGTAAATTCCAACTGGTACAGTAAATGTTTCAATGTTTACACTCCGCGGGATAGAGTCAATATTCGAAGCAAGACAAGTGTTTATTGAGAAATTCTGTGCAAATCTTCAAAATGTCTCAACACATGGCTGCTAAATATCTCCGCAATTATCGGAAGCGCTTGAGAGACCAGAAGGCAGGGAAACCTGCGAAACAGACGCAGACCGTTGCTGAAAGCGTGTGAGGTGTGTGTCGAGGCAACAAGAAAGCGGTCAAAGATAATGCGTCGCCAACTACTAATTAGGACTCCCACAGTGCAATTTAGAAAAATGAACGCTAAAATTTATCCTAACATTGCTTTGCATTTTGCATTATGTGATTTTTATGTACAACCCTCAGTTTAATGAAGAAACATTTGATAGAATCTTATATTTTCTATTTTTATTGTTTCAAGAAAAGTTCGTCTTAAAAGAATGAAATTATTCGATACATTTATTTCTCTTTAAAATTGTATGTTTTTTTTTTGCCAATACTTCATATCAATTAACATACATTGTTAAAGATAAACATTTTTCTCCAAATCTCTTTCTTGTATTACAAATAAAGTATGCAATATTATTTATTTAATTTGATAAAACAGAGGACAGTAGTGTAGTATCTGTCACGGCTCGGGGTCATCGTTCACCAAGCAGCACATTGATAAGCCTGGTGATCATTAGAGTCTACGGTCACATAGTGAAAGTCAAAGCTAAAAATTAATAGTTTGAATGTGAAAACTAAAGCTAAAGTGTGATAAGTTGAAAGTTTAAAGGAGTTGTAGAGGAAGTTGCCACGTACTATTGGACATCCAGGACCTCGCGGTTTAACCGTAACGTTTACGGATATTAACATATTTTTTCCGGAGTCTACCACGCCAATCGCCGGTAGTATGTCCGAATCGCAGTTCGTGAAGCTGATCCCACAGCTACAGTGTGCGCCACCAATCCAGGCAAGCCAGCTCACCTTGTGGTTATTTGAAGCCTCGAGTCCATCACCATACTCGAGGGGCGTACGGGATAGGTAGAGGCGTCCACCCCTGGCCCAAGAAATTGATGTGGTACCAGAGGAAGGAGAGAAACGACGACGACGGCAATGGCAGGTGAAGGGGCCCCGATGACAAAACGAAGAGTAGTGCCAGCACAAGGAGTAGACAATGAAGGAAGTGGGAGACGTCAGTTTCTAGACCGTCCGTGAAGTGGGAAGGATGTGAGTGTTAACAAAAGCGAATAAAGTGGGAGTTTGTCTTGAGTGAACATTAAATGTTTTCTTGGTTCGCGGAATTGTCACGAGCGTGTGCCGACGGGGGTCTCATCAGTGCTGGAAGTAACACCACACTGGCGCGTTACGCACCCAACCAGGGGAAGTAAGATTTTCTCAAAATAATGATGGATTCATCATCAAAGGATGTTTGTGGAGACCGCATGAACGGAAGTTGCGATATACCGAGCTGCTGTTCAATACAAAAAAACCCGAATTTATCCACCTATGGTGTGATCAGACCCTTCTTACTTATTCAAGTTTATTTATTTTATTGTCATTATCAGTGACCAAGCCCCCCACCTCCGTGTCATCCAGTGACGCTACGCCACTGCCTGGGGGTACCCGGAATATATCCGGGTGTAGTCTATTTGGTGAGGCTACCAATCACCTTATCATCGTATTTTAATGTGATTTAATGGGTTTTAATTCAATTCATATTCAAGCAACTTCCCCGGGGTAACCGGAACATGTCCAAGTGTGTCCAATGTGGTCTGGAACACTTAACACGACTTGCATTGATCTTATTTTTGAATTCTGTAGTAATTTGATGTGTCGCATGATGGTTTTGATACGTTTTCCGTTAAATCCAGCGTGAAGGCCCATATTCACCGGATCTAATTCCGGCCATATCTCCGGAACCGGTTCACCGATTCCAAAACCGTTCAATAACGTTCAATGGGACCCCAAGACCTATCATTTGGCGCCGAGTTTGTCCAAATCGGTTGAGCGGTTGCTGAGAAACGTGAGCGCATTCATTTCGTTACATACACACACACATACACACATACACACAGACATGTTCCGATCTCGTCGAGCTGAGTCGAATGGTATATGACACTCGGCCCTCCGGACCTCGGATCGATAGTCGGTTTTTCAAGTGATATCTATACTCTTCTTTGTAAGAAGGGTAAAACGATTCTCTGCCCTGAGGAACAAAACTTTTGAAAATAATGTTTTTAAATTAGACCCGAGTTCCAAACCCTTTTGGAAACTCACAAAAATTTTGAAAAAACCTCAAAAGCCAATTCCAGCGCTTAAAGAAGGTGGTAAAATTTTGATCACAAATTTGGAAAAAGCTCAGAAACTTGCTAAGCAATTCGAGAGTTCCCATAATTTCAGTTTGGGTCTTACTAGTCCTATTGAGAATAAGGTTGCTCGGGATTATCTGAATATTTTCTCTCGGGAAAATATTTTTGATGATTCCTGGGGGACTGATTTGGACGAAGTAAGGTCTATAAGTAAAAAGTTTCAAAATATGGAAGCTCCAGGTGATGATGGAATTTTCTATATCCTCATCAAAAAACTCTCAGAGAGTACCTTGTCTTTCTTGGTAAAATTATTTAACAGATGTTTCCATTTGGCATACTTTCCTGATAAATGGAAAAATGCAAAAGTTGTTTCAATTTTGAAGCCGGATAAAAATCCAGCTGAAGCTTCTAGCTACCGCCCAATAAGTTTGCTTTCTTCAATAAGTAAACTTTTTGAAAAGATAATTTTGAATAGAATGATGCTTCACATCAATACAAACTCAATTTTTGCAGATGAGCAGTTTGGATTTCGCCATGGGCATTCAACTACTCATCAACTCTTAAGAGTTGCCAATTTAATTCGTTCAAACAAATCTGAAGGCCACTCAACAGGAGTTGCTCTTCTAGACATAGAAAAAGCATTCGACAGTGTTTGGCATGAAGGTTTGATTGCTAAATTGAAAAAGTTTAATTTTTCACTTTATATTATGAAATTAGTTCAAAATTATTTAACTGACAGAACTCTGCAGGTAAATTATCAAAATTCCAAATCTGATCGACTACCTGTTAGAGCAGGAGTTCCTCAGGGTAGCATTCTTGGGCCTATATTATATAACATTTTCACTTCGGATCTCGCTGATTTGCCTCAGGGTTGCCACAAATCTTTGTTCGCTGATGACACAGGCATTTCCGCTAAAGGAAGAAGTCTTCGTGTTATTTGCAGCAGACTGCAGAAAAGTTTAGATATTTTCTCTTCTTATTTACAAAAATGTAAGATTTCTCCCAATGCTTCCAAACCTCAACTTATAATATTTCCACATAAGCCTAGAGCTTCGTTTTTGAAACCTAGTAGTAGTCACATAGTCACTATGAACGGAGTTCCAATTTCCTGGTCAAACCAAGTGAAATATCTTGGATAGATACTTGACCAAAAATTAACTTTTAAAGATCACATTGAGGGCATTCAAGCCAAATGTAACAAATATACAAAATGTTTGTATCCTCTTATAAACAGGAAATCCAAACTTTGCCTGACGAATAAACATCTAATATTTAAACAAGTTAGACCGGCCATGCTTTACGCTGTGCCAATATGGTCTTGTTGTTGCACTACCAGGAAAAAAGCACTTCAAAGGATTCAGAACAAAGTTCTGAAAATGATTTTGAAGTTGCCTCCCTGGTACAGTACTATCGAGGTACATAGAATTCCGAATGTTGAGACTTTAGAACAAATGTCTAACAAAATAATTAATAATTTCAGGCAAAAATTGTTGCAATCCTCAATTGCAACGATTAATGCACTTTATACTTAGATAAGATTTAGTTTTAGTTTTTAGTTTTAAGATATCAATTGTTATACTGACATGCAGGTTTAAAAAACCTGTTTAAAATACTGAATTGCCAAGACAGGAACAATGTAAAAACACTTAGCTATATATCATAACAATTAAGGCTGGTAAGTTACTGTATTAACTGGAGCACCTAGGTTAAAATGAAATGTAATTTATTTTGAATTTGGAACAAATAAAGAGTTAAAAAAAAAAGACGATCGTGTGGCACACATCGAGAGTGGCCTGCTTTTGTCGACAGCCGAGTGAACACTGACAATGACGCGATCATTTAGATAAAATTGATAAACAACAGATTTTTAGCGATGGACACAATCTTAGATTCATAGGCCAACATTAGAGCCATTTCCCCGTAGCAGACAATATTTGTTTTTTAATATTCTCAAGAAAAACAAATTTGTGAAAATAAAAATAAATAAATAAATTTTGAAAAATATTAATTTTTCTGCTACCACTCGCTCACTGCAGAATAGCATCAACAATCAAAGAACAGACTATGCCAAAAATAGTCAATGAATTATGTCTTGCTATAATACAAACTGTGAATCTATTGACATAACAATGAATACAAGTACGCTTAAAAAAACTTTCTTCACGAGGTTAGATAGGCATCAATAATAAATATTAATTTTATACAAGTACTTGAAGTAAAATTGTAACAATTATCGTTTAAGTAAAATTATAAAACGGTCTACACTGACGACAAATAAATTAAAAAAAAAATACTCTCAAGCATAGATGACAAAACTATGCGTAAATAAGAGAGTCTGTCACACGCAAGCACGTATTTTCTATCTCCACCGTATGCTTGTATTGTAGCCGTACACAAACGTCCGTGAGCTGGTTGTCTTGTATCGCTCTGGACTATGGTTTTGCAAAAAATGTACATTTGCCACCTCTGCTGTTGGGTCATTCGTAACTTATCCGGGGGTGAGATTTGAACTCGTGATTTTGGCGTGAGAGATATGGATGTTATCCACTAAGCCGGGGCCGTCTGCATTGATCGATTCTCTTCCGTTAATAAATCAGTTGCAAAAACATTCCCATTCGTCATGAACTTTTCGAACGCTAAATAAGAAGCATCTTTATCAAACTATCGAATCGATTAAAGCAGATTGGACCTTTGACATGTTTATCTGGATGTATGGAATATTCTTGACTATACTTCTCCTACATATTCTGAAGCAATATGAAATATTTACGAATGATCTATTGGTATTATTATTTGTTTCCTAACAAATATAAACAACACCTCAGCATGGCCGATTTACTCCTTGATTTCAACGATTGATTTCTGAGGCAAATAAAAGCAGCAGCATATGAGTACATACGCTTATTTGTATTTCCATCAACCAACAAAGTTCAACGATTTCCATTTGCACGACGTGCAGGTATTATTTTACTTCTGAGAGAATACAAAGATTTACATCAGTCCAGCAGCTACTTAAGTGCAACAAAACTATTTATCTCTATGTATGCAGATTATCGCTTCCTACATAGGCAAGAGCAAGTAAGAAGTGCTAGACGCAACAGGACATGAAAGAATTAATGCATAAATAATTACGCTTTTTATCCCCACCCACCCCTGTCTTCTGCCAATGGTCGAGTCTGCTTCTTGAGCACTCTGTCCCACTCACATTATTCTGTTTTTTGCTCCTATTTTTCACCTCTTCTCTTTCTGTATGGAAGTGTCGTGTTTGCTCATTCATAACTTTTTGAATATGCATCATTCATGCCATAATGTGTGCGAGAGAGGAGATGTTTTCGAAATGTCTACTTTAAGCCTTGGCTGTAGGTCTGTATGCCTTGCGATATGTTGGAAGGCAATTGTTTACTCAGCCACATGGTTGAATAGCTAGGGTAAAAAGATGAAGTTTTGAATGATGGTGGCGAATTGGGGAAAGTATAGAAAAAAATCTGTGTATGAAAGCTCCATTCATACGAGAAACGTGTTAATCGGATGTTGAATCACAAACACCCTCCGTACTGTAACGGGAAAGTTTTCTCCGTTAAATTTGAATGGAGGTGCACATCTAGTACATGCAAAGCGGAAAGAATGCAATGGTAAATGTTTAACTTTATCATTAATTATTTACAGTGCTGCCGGAGCAACCGGTGGTCCTGGACCGCTGGGGACGACTGATGAATGGAACCAAGCTCGGACCCAAGGAGGAAGGCGATGACGTCGTGATCACGTGCCGCGTTTCAGGAGGTAAGCTGTGCATAATTTTCCTATTTGAACAACAATAATTGCCAGGTATTTGATGCATTAACAAAAGCAATCAATATCGCATAATCGACAGCTGCTTGTTGACATTTTGCGCACGTTTGTGGTTCGCTCAGAAGCATTCTGAATTTACCACCAATAGACCAATTAACGATTATTATCGATCGAGCTTCCACTTTGTGTTCATGTACAGGTTAATTATAAGTAAACAATATCATCAAAACGATTCAATCTATGCGTGTAGCATTTTAATGCCTTTGACACTAAATGTTGATCAGAACCTAATCAAATCCAAGCACAAATAAATCTCTCTTATTCTGCTTATTCTGTAAATTTAAATTTAAATACATCTACTATAATCCAGTTAATACAACCAAAATTGACGAAAAGTTCTTCTTGGATTGATTCACTGTATTTTGAAGGAGAAAACGACACATACTTGTGGAATGGAGCGTTTGAATCCACAAAAAGGAAAGTTACTGTCGATTTTTGCAGCATGATCCATTTTGCTCAATAGAATGCTTGACCACTAACACTGTAATTCCGTGGATACACTTGTATGACAAACTATGAGCATGAGTATTGTTTGTATAATAAATTATGAGCACATCCATGGTCACAAGACTGATGCAAAATTTGAAATTTACGCTCCACAGTGCTCAAACGGTTTCAAATCAGGTCCTGATTAGCCTTCCAAAATTTAAACTCATTTGGTAAGAAACCGACTTGGCACAAACTATTCGAAGTTTATATGGAAATTACTATGGGAAAACCAAACTTTTTGTTTCTTGTCTTCTACCCATTCTCCATATGGCTTTTTCAAAAATTTCTATAACTATTCCTACGGGAAATTTTCTAAGCTACAATTTTGCGGAATATCGTTTTTCAGCCATATGTAAAATTAAATTGTTATTAATTGTTTAAGATATTGATAATCTTATGGCATGATCAAGCAGCTGTTCTGTGGGCAACACTGTATTCTGCAGTGTGACATAGTAGCCATGATTTTTGTGCTCTATTCTTCGCACCAGAATCTCCAATGTTGCCTGCTGAACAGTTGAATGAGCATAATCATTAGACATCAGTGACTTGAATCATTAATAACTTTCGTTCCTTACATTTGATTGAAAGATGGTTTTTAAAAGCATAGTGATGTGGTGAATTGTTAGACAGATATGAACAAAAACATAAGCTTTCCCATAGTAATTCCCATATAAACTTGAAATGGTTTGTGCCAAGTCAGTTTCTTACTAAAGTAGTTCAAATTTTGAGAGGCTAACCAGGGTCCAATTTGAAACCATTTAAGCACTGTGGAGCAAATATTTCAAAATTTGCATCAATCTAATGGTCACACTTGCATAGTTTTTGTATAGTGCTCATAATACCCAAAAATTATAGGAAAATTGCGCGTAAATCAGAAGCTCCTAAATATAGCAACATGTTGTACAGTTCAAAAATGTAACTTTGTAACTAGTTCCAAAAGTCTGCCTTACACTTCTCTTCGATGAAATGTAAATCAAAAAAGTTAAATAAAAAAAAACTAATTTCTTTAGAGACACCTTAGTGAAATGCTAAAAAATAGCTCTAGCAAGGTCAAATAAAAAATTCTGATCATCATTTTTTACAAAAAAAAAGAATGCCCAATTAATTATAAACAACTTCTTCGAAACGGAGTAAATAATTTATTAACGCTTAATTGCCCTTTCGAAGCACAGTGCAATGATGCATTTGCATTTTAGACGTTATTGATTAAAAGCTCTGATTATCAGCATAGCATGAAAAGGATAACAACTGCATTTAATACTCAATAAAACTCGCTTCAAAAGGTTCATGTAAAAACGAAATAATTATCATTGATTGAACGATGAAACTACAAATAGCTGGCTGTTCTAATAAATCCTAACAGTTTCATATTGAACTCGCGATCCATTCAACCGTTCTTAACCGTATTTCCGTTTTGATTAGGTCGTCCCCAGCCAGAAGTACGGTGGCTAATCAATGGCGTAATTGTGGATGACCAGTACGAACAGAATTCCGGCGATATTATCGAAAATCGGTTACTGTGGCCAACTATCCAGCGCAGTGATCTGAATTCGATATTTACATGTCAGACCATGAATACCAAACTCGTCGAAGCGAAAGAAACTAGCTACGTTCTGGATTTGCACTGTGAGTATCCGGTTTAATTAATTATTACTAAACTGCAATCGGAATGCGGTAAGCCAACCAACTACTGACCTTATTTCACTTTTAGTGAAACCACTTTCAGTGAAAATAGTCGATCCACCGCAGGCCCTGATAGCGGACAACCGATACGAAGTATCCTGCCGAAGTGGGGGCTCCCGGCCCCACGCTGTTATTACATGGTACAAAGGCAAGCGTGAGATGTTTCATACCAAAGAGGACACCCACAATCATAACACAACCGTCTCCACGCTTTCCTTCACTCCGAAAATCGAGGACGATGGCAAAAATATGACATGCAGAACGGAAAACCCCTCCGTGAAGGGATGGTTCCTGCAAACTACTTGGAAAATGAATGTCGTTTGTAAGTTGGACTGTTCAAAATGCAAACCTGTAGATGTCGTAACTGAATCAAAACAATTTCCATTTCCCTTTTCTATAGACGCACCACTTGTCACAATCCAGCTAGGATCGACGTTAGTTGCCGACGACATAAAGGAAGGAGATGACGTGTATTTCGAGTGTCATGTTGAATCAAACCCTTCCTGGAAAAAACTGCTCTGGTTTCATGACGTAAGAAACATGCTTTTGTAAATTATTTAAAAAAATCAACATTACGCTGATTAGGAATTCACCAACTGTGAATTTCACTGATTGCAACAGTTTCATAACCGCTTTTTTTCACTCAACGTATCCTTCCCGTTACTTAACAACGCGCTCTATTTACGGCACTTATTATGATGGACCCGTCGTACAGGACACGCTGCTGCTGCACAACGCTTCCGCCCGGGTTATTCAAACCAATCAGAGCCTGGTGCTGCAGAAGGTGGTGAAGCAGTCGGCCGGATATTACGCTTGCAGTGCAATCAACGGCGAAGGGGAGACCGTCAGCAATCAGCAATTTCTTCGGGTGAAGCGTAAGTACATTTTCTTGGATACTTACCTTGCTTCAGTTTTCATTTTTTTTATTCTATCTCACTCACCACACTCCAACGTAAATCCAATCGCTCAGCCATGGGAAATGACCGGAAATTTTTCATTGAAATATCCATCGGTGCCAGATCGCAAATCAATCTCCGGAGAGTTCCACTTCCTGATGGTGCTTGATGCAATAAAAGTTAACCAGTGGGAAATTATTGGATGGACCTAGAGATAGGTGATCCACTCTCGAGTATTCACTTAAAAAAGCGATTGACCCGCGGTTCATTTTTTAGGAACCGCAGCCCACTTATATCACAAGTCTAAATCATTCAATCCGTCACTTATAGTGAAACTTTTCAAAAAACGACTCTTTACTCTTCTTTTTTTAACTCTTTGTTTGTTCCGAATTCAAATAAAATTACAATACAGTAACTTACCAACCTTAATTATATGCTAAATATCTAAGTGTGTTTACATTGTTCCTGCTTTGGCTACTCAGTATTTTAAACAGGTTTTCTATACCTGCATTTCGGTATAACAATAGTCATCTAAAACTAAATCTTTAGATAGAGCTGGAATTAGGGCATAACAGCTTTTGTAAACAATGACTTCGAATGATGATTTCTAGGAATTCAAGGCACGCCCACGCAGACCAATATAACCATCGGATAGGAAAAGTCTTTCCCTACCCTACCGTCATTGTTAACAAAAGCTGTTAGGCCCTAATTCCAGCTCTATCTAGATCTTATCTTAATTTAAAGGGAATTAATCGTTGAAATTGAGGATTCCACGATTTTTGCCTGAATTTATTATTTATTTTGTTGGACACTTGTTCTAAACTTTCAACATTCGAAATTCTATGTTACTCGGTAGTACCATAGAGGTAACTCTAAGACCAGAAGGCCCCGAAGAAACGAGCTCAACTTTTTGGCTCAGCTCTGGTACTCTCTTCGGTCCCAAAGCTAATCAATCCACCCCTCGAAACATAGGAGAATCCACTAACCCCTCATTTTATCTGTCAAACTTTCATAGCGAATCAAAACAAACATAGTGTAGTACTGGAATTTATACTAGAATGGGGTACGTTATTCGATTTGCTTGGAACCTATAGGCTAGTCAAGTAGTAATCCAATTTAAAATTGTTAGTTTCGTATTGATTGTTGGTAGTACTGTACCACGGAGGCAACTTCATTACTCCACGTACGCATTGAACAGCCACCGCGTAAACCAAGATGCACGCCTAATACAGCATTTGCCTACTGATCGATATCATCAACGGTAAAAGCAAACTTCCAAGCGGCTGTATGAGAGAGAGAGAGAGACATATGAACATTGGGGTGTTTCATTCTGGAAAAAAATTTGATATTTTTGATAGGCCACCCCCTAATTCAGCTCACTACACAAAAACAAACATCTGTGCAAAGAATCAGCTAAATTGGTCAACATTAAGAGGTCGCGCCAACGATTTCAATTTTGACCGGGATTTTTGTCACATTAGTATGGGAGAAAATGATGACCCACTAAAATCATTCCAACTTGTTTCTTAATGAACCGATTTGCATGAAATTAAAATATGTTATACTTGAGTGAAACCTCAAAAACAAAAACAAAAACAAAAAAATAAATGAATTCGATTTTAAGTTAAAAGTACTCAACCGTCATGTTTTCACCATTGGGAAATTTTAACTTATTTTTGGATGAAAATCATAGCAACCTGCGCTGCCTTTGATACTGTCATTTTTGTGTGCTTCATCGCCTTCGTTCGTGCTCCATTATTGGCGTTGACGGCACCGTCGAAAAATGGTCTCTTCTAGAAATGATTGACAGCTTCTTATGGGATTTTTTCGGTGAAGTGAAAGGATAGTACCATAGAAGTAACTCTAAGACCAGAAGGTCCCAAAAAAAAATGTGCTCAACTTTTTGGCTCAGTTCTGGTACTATCTTCGGTTCCAAGCTAATCGATGCACCCCTCGAAACATAGGAAAATCCACGAACCCCTCATTTTATCTGTCAAACTTCCATACGGAATCAAAACAAACATAGTGTAGTACTAGAATTTCGACTAGAATAGGGTACGTTAATCGATTTGCTAGGGACCAATAGGCTATTCAAGTAGTGAATCAATTTAAAATCGTTAGTTTCCACCGGTTGATAGTACGAAGTCCGCCATGTTTCAAGCACAGTCTGAAGTTTACTTATGGATTTTAACATAGAAGTAAAGAGCTACAGAGTCGCTGTGAACGCCAATTGCATTCAATTGATGGTTAAGTAATTTTCACTCAATGGATTATTGATGAGGATTTCTCAAAATTTTATTTTACCTAGCCTCATGGAAGCCACATGATGAGTGAAAGTGAAATCAATTTTTAACTAACTTTAAAGTACCCATTATTGGGTAAAAAATATAAATGTTAAAGATAAGTGACTTACCATTAAATTAGCAATTTTTACCCATTAATGAGTATCTGTTACCCATTAATGGATAACAGTTACTCATTAATGGGTAAAAAACTACTAATACTAGTTTAGTCACTTTTCTTCAAAATTTACCCTTTTTTTCTTATAAATGCGTACTTTCAAGTTAGCGTGTTGGGTACCTCGTTCTCCATGCAACAACATGTGCAAAGGCATACAAGCCAAATGTATGCATGCATTTAAACGTTGGTTGTTCCCGAATTGCAACATGCCCACTCAAACTAACTATATCATCTGATAGAGCAAATTATCTCTCAGATGTTGGTGTCAGTTTGCCAGATTGAGCCAATACTCATGAGAAATCGTGCAAAGTAATTGTTTACATTTGGTAAATAGGCTTTTTTGCATGTTTCTCTACTTACTAGCTTTCTCTATCATACGTCAAAACCATCATAGCTCGAAACAAAAACGATAAAGTTGAGTGTTGTGGACAGGAGTGTTTATGTGCAATCGTTGGAAATTTATAGTGGTCGTAAGTACTAAATACTATAGAGATTAAACAGAGATTTTTTTTTTCTTGATTTGTTTTCCGTCGATCGTGTATTCCGTGCTGAGTTTACTGCAGTTTTAATTAAATTTAAGTTGTTTAAACTCAAGCTTTGGGTAAGTTTCATTTTCTGTGTACCCTGAGACTGGGTAGACGGAACCGATTCTTATGTGCAGTAAGGAGTTGGCAGAGTAAACCAGTTTTATTACATTGAGTAAAATGTACCCAAATTCTGGGGAAATGGTTATAACATAGAGGTAACTCTAAGACCACTGGGTCCCGAAGAAAATCATTATTATTTTTGGCTCACTCAGTACCAGAACAACGGTCCCAAGCAGTCCCAAGCTATTTCACTCACCCCTGCATGTTCTGCATGAATCCACACACCCCTGATGTTATCTGTCAAACTTTCATAGCGAATCAAAACAAACATAGTGTAGTAATAGAATTTCAACTAGAATAGGGTACGTTAATCGTTTGCTTGGGACCAATAGGCTACTAAAGTGGTGAGCCAATTTAAAATCGTTAGTTTCGTATTGATTGTTGGTTATAATCGCATGTTTAGAACGGTGCAGGTATAAAAGGGAGATTTTTTGCGGTGTCCAAATATCCTACAATACTGTGCACCCCCGCTCATCTGAATGACACTTCGTGCATATTAACGGGGTTGATTTTTATTTTGAACTTCTTGTAACCCTATGAGCATTAGAAATTTGAGTTTATGGTAGCCTTATTGGCAGTTTTGTTTTGGTTCTGCTTTCCATTTTGCATCGTTTCATTCCGCTTTATTATTTATTACGCAATTACAGCGGAAGCGGAACGGCAGTGCGAGAAGTGGAAAAGCCATAGAGGTAACTCTAAGACCACTGGGTCCCGAAGAAAATCATTATTATTTTTGGCTCACTCAGTACCAGAACAACGGTCCCAAGCAGTCCCAAGCTATTTCACTCACCCCTGCATACCTTACTTACCAATCAGGCTAAGGCCTTGTTGTCCTCTGCTGTCCGAAGAAGTCGTCTCCACTCTACTCGATCCATGGCCACAGTTCGCCAGCCTCGTAGTCTGCGAAGGGTCCGCAGGTCACCTTCTACTTGGTCGATCCACCTTGCCCGCTGTGCGCCTCTTCTTCTTGTTCCTGTTGGGTCGCTTTCTAGAACCATTTTCACTGGGTCGTCGTGCGGCATTCTTACGACGTGCCCAGCCCACCGTAGTCGCCCAATTTGTGCAATGTGGACGATGGATGGTTCTCCCAGCAGCTGGTGCAATTCGTGGTTCATTCGCCTCCTCCACGTTCCGTCATCCATCTGCACTCCACCGTAGATGGTACGCAACACCTTCCGTTCGAAAACACCAAGGGCGCGTTGGTCCTCCACGAGCATAGTCCAGGTCTCGTGGCCGTAAAGGACCACCGGTCTAATCAGCGTCTTGTAGACAGTCAACTTCGTGCGGCGGCGAATTTTATTCGACCGGAGCGTCCTCCAGAGTCCAAAGTAGGCACGATTCCCTGCCATAATGCGTCTTTGAATTTCTCTGCTGGTATCATTTTCGGCGGTCACCAGTGAGCCCAAATACACGAACTCATCGACCACCTCGATTTCGTCACCGTCAATCTGAACTCGGGGTGGGAGGCTAACATTGTCTTCCCTAGAACCTCTTGCTTTCATATATTTTGTCTTTGATGCGTTGATGGCAAGTCCAATCCGTCTAGCTTCAGCCTTCAGTCTGATGTACGTTTCCGCCATCATCTCAAAGTTCCGTGCCATAATGTCAATGTCATCGGCGAAACCAAGGAGCTGGATGGACTTCCTGAATATCGTGCCACTCGTGTCTATCCCAGCTCTTCTGATCACACCTTCTAACGCGATGTTGAACAGCAGACACGAAAGTCCATCACCCTGCCGTAACCCCCTTCGAGATTCAAAGGGACTCGAGAGTGTCCCCGATACTCGAACAACGCACGTCACTCGATCCATCGTCGCCTTGACCAATCGCGTCAGTTTATCCGGAAATCCGTACTCGTGCATAATCTGCCAT